TCAAAGGGCTTTGCTCCTGTGCCTGTGGCCCGCCTGCCTGGCTATTGAAAACCGCCCTTGGCTGGGTTGGTTTTCCTTGGCGGGCAGTATTCCTTTGGAGGGAGCGGCTTTGCAGTTTCTGCTCCTTTGGTTTTTTCTTCTTTGGGAGCTCTGGTTACATAGTCGTTCTCCTTTTACCTCACTCTGTTCATGCCACCCTCTAATCCCTGAAACTCGTGTCCAGCGCGTGTAATTGCCATTCTCCCTTTCCTCCTCTGCGCCTTCCCGGGGGTGGGGGGTGGGGTGCCGGGATCCCTTGTGGGCCTTCCCAGGTTGGCCGCATTTCCCCGGGGTGGGTTTCTTCCCCCCAGCTTGAGTTTCCTCTCCTCCTGTTCCTCACGTTCCGCCCCAGGTCTTGCTTCAGACAGGTGCTTTATTCTCGAACCTGTTTCTGTGGGTGGAGGACGGTGCCTTTTCTCAGTAATAGTGAAGTCCCCTGACTGTTGGGTGCGAGTCTCGGGCTCTCCTCTTCTCTGCTGTGCAGGGCTCACCTGTGCCATTCTGCCTGTCGCCTCAGCTTCCAGGAACCACAGGAGCCAGTACTGCTCACCCGCTTCCCAACACACTGTCATGCTGGAGGGTGACGCCCGCCTCCCCCGCCCCATCACTTTCCATGTTGGCCTCTCCCCTTCCGTTCTCAGCCTTTCCACCCAGTCCTGCTGTTCTGTGAAGACCTGACGTGTATTTTGGTGTCTGCAACAGCATCTTGCTTTTAATTTCACTGAAAATGAAGTTTTGGCTTTTTGTTTTATTTTTATTTACTAGGAAGGCAGAGCGATGCAGAGCTATAGGTATCTTTCATCCTCTGGTTCGCTCCCCAAATGCCCGTAACAGCCTGTGTCTGGTTCAGACCCAGGGTAGGAGCCTGGAATCCACCCAGGTCTCCCACGTGGGTGGAAGGGGCCCAGGTATTTGAGCCATCATTGCTGCTCTTGTATGTGCATTAACGGGAAGGTGGATTGAAGCAGGAGCAGAATTCAGTCCAAGGCACCCTAATATGCAAGTGTCCCAGGTGGCGACTTAAGTGGCTGCATCAGCACACCCTCCCTGAAGTGTGGACTTGTACTGCTTTCACTGTTGCTTCTGAGTTCATACCAGAACTTAACCAGATTTTTTTTTTAAGATTTATTTTATTTATTTGAAAGACTTACAGAAAGAAGTAGAGACGGGGGGGGGGGGGGGGATCTTCTGTCTGCTGGTTCACTCCGCCAAATAGCCACAACAGGCAGGCAGAGTTGAGCCAGTCCAAAGCCAGGAGTGAGGAGATTCTTCTGGGTCTCCGATGTGGGTGCAGAGGCCCAAGGCCATCCTCCGCTGCTTTCCCAGGTGCATTAGCAGGGAGAAGGATTGGAAGTGGAACAGTCGGGACTTGAACCAGCTCTCACATGGGATGCCGGTGCTTCAGGCCGGGGCTTTAACCCACTGTACCACAGTGCCAGCCCTAGAACTTAACCAGTTCTAAATGTAAAACAGTAAAAGTCCTTACTAGCTGATGTCACCTGTTCAGAAGAGAACAGTTACTAAAGTCACTCCCAAAATGCTTTTGGTCATGTTAGCTTGCTAAAAATAAATAGAATCTTCAGCCCAGAAGTCCCACAGAAGAGATACACAGAGCTCCGTGTTCAGAACTTGCAAGAAGGCCTGTCTTGGGAGCTGAGGAAACAGAATTCCAGGCTCTGGCCGGGATGGGGTTGGGGGAGGTGGGGGAGGGCATTGTGCCCTCCTGCCTGTTGGCTGTGGCGTCTGCAGGCTATCAGCGTGTGTGTGTGTGTGTGTGTGTGTGTATGTTCATTTAATAAGGTCTGTTTACAAGTCTGAGTGTGAGCTCGTGCTGAGCCCGGGTCCTGCCTGACAAGACGCATGTCAGATTTTACCATGCTGACATATGGAAATTGACGTTAATTTTCAGAAACTAGTAATTGCTGAAGTGAACACCTAACCCTGAACAGTGAGTTCACTCTAACAGTGGAGTGTTCACTAGGACTGTGTGTGATTATTTTACTAATTGCCCTCCTGCTTTCTCAGAAGCTCTGATTTTTGGGGTCTGAGGAATAATCAGGCTGTGACATAAAGTTGTTAATTCATTTCTACACACTCTACAAAAGGGGGAGAGACACAAAAATAGAGCACAAGGGAATTGCAGTAAACAGGGAAGAGTGGGAGGAAGAACCTGAAATCATAACATACGAAATGCATGCTATAAACACGTTCAGTATTCTTGGTGTAAGCTTTTGGCTCTGAGCTTCCCGGCAGGCGTGGTGAAAGGAGCAACAACCATGAGCATGAGGTGGACACAAACTGGTCACCCAGAAGAATGGCGCTTTTTGGTATAGAGCTCAAGAGGGAGACTTCTCCAGGCTCGTCAAGAGCACGTCCTGGGTATAAACAGTACTGTCAGCGGCTTCCTGGCACCATCAGTGTTGCGACAGCCATCAGTTTCTAGTGACACTTCCTGGAGCATATGTCTCTGTTAGCCAGGGCTGTTAAACCAACACACAGTCCAGGAAACACAGTTACCCGGGGCAGAGGCGTGTCCAGGTGCCAGCCCTCTGCCTGTCTGGCTGCACCTAGGGCAGATTTCAGAGCCTCTCATCCATTTCTTCTGGAAATCCTACTGGGGTCTTTGTATATCCTTTTCTTTCTTTTTAAATGTTTGTTTATTTTCATCCATTTGGAAGGCAGGACAACAGAGAGAAAGAGAGAGAGATCTCCATCCACTGGTTCACTCCCTAAATGCCTGCAATCACCAAGGAAGGGCCAGGCTGAAGCCAGGATGCAGGAACCTCATTCGGTTCGTCCATGTGGGTGGCAGGGGCCCAAGCACGTGAGCCATCACCCACTTCCTCCCAGGATTGTTTTACCAGGAAGCTGGATTAGAAGCAGAGGAGCTGGGACTTGAACCAGCCATTCTAATAGAGGATGTAGGCGTCACAAGCAGCAGTTTAACCAGCTCCATCACAACACCTGCCCCTGGCTTTAATTTATTTTCATTTTATTTGAAAGGCAGAGAGAAAGAAAACCAGAGGTGTGGGGGGGGGGAACCTTCCATCTGCTGGTTCACTCCCCAAATGCCTGCAACAGCCAGGGCTGGGCCAGGCTGAAGTCAGAAGCCAGGAGCTCTATCCAGGTCTCCCATGTGGGCAGCAGAGACCCACGTCCTTGAGCCATCACCTGCTCCTTCACAGGGTGTGCATCAGCAGGAAACTGGATTGGAAGTGGAAGATCCAGGACTCGAGCCGGGCACTGCATTATGGGAAACAGGCGTCGCACATGGCAACTTAACCACGACACCGAATGCCCACCTTCCCCTCCTCCCAATAAGTTTTTTTCACCCACATGTTTGCTAAGTGTTGAGCAGGAGGGGGTTTGATGAGTTCATAGAAGCTGGATATTTTGTATTACCAATTTAAAAAGTCCATGGTGGGGGGGGGTGATACAGCTGGTTAAGCTGCACTTGTAATGCCCATATCCCATATCAGAGTGCTGGGTCAAGTCCTGGCTGCTCCACTTCCTATCCAGTTCCATGTGAATGTGCCTGGGAAAGCAGCAAAAGATGGCCCAGGCGCTTGGGTCCCTATACTCACCTGGGAGACCTGGATGGAGTTTCTGACTTCTGGCTTCAGCTGGCCCAGCCCTGACTGTCGTGGACATTTGGGAGTAAACCAGGGACGGAAGATTCCATCTCTGTCCTCCTGTCATTATAACTGCGTAAGTTTTTAAAAAACAAAACGCTCGTCCGTAGGCTCAATGTGTAAGCGAGTTTGAGGGCTCCTTGAACTGCCCACTTGTTTGATTTGTGTAGACAAATGGTCCGAGGGTCCTTGCTGTCATCTTGTCCTGTGTTACATGCCAAGTAGTAAGACACTGGGCATATTGTAATGCAAGAGGTCATTGTATAAGTTCCTTTGGCAAGGAGACTGAGTTTTAGAGAAACTTCTCTGGTACCAGTTTAAAAAAAAAAAAAAAAGAAACCAGTTAAGTTATTCATCAGATTTATTTATTGCTTTATTTTTAAAAAATATTTATTTATTATTTGAAAGGCAGAGTTACAGAAGCAAAGAGATAGAGGGAGAGAGGTCTTCCATCCACTGGTTCACTCCCTAAATGGCTGCAATGGCCAGAGCTGGGCCGATCCAAAGCCAGGAGCCAGGAGCCTCTTCCAGGCCTCCTATGTGGGGGCCCAAGGACTTGGGCCATCTTCTGCTGCTTTCCTAGGCCACAGCAGAGAGCTAGATCAGAAGTGGAGCAGCCAGGACTTGAACCTGTGCCCATATGGGATGCTGGTGCTGCAGGTCAGGGCTTTAACCTGCTGCACCACAGCGCCAGCCCTGTGCTTTATTTTTTTAATTATTTGTTTGAAAAACAGAGATACAGGCAGACACAGATCTCCCATGCGCTGGTTCACTCCCGAATGCCGCCGCAGCCAGGGCTGGGCCAGGCCGGAGTCAGGAGCTCAGAACATAATCCACAGGGACTCCGCTGCTCCAGCCATCACCTGCTGCCTCCCAGGGCCTCACTGCAGGATGCTGGTGTTGAGTGGAGCTGAGACCGGAAGCCAGGCACTCCACTGTGGCGCGTGGGCGTCCCAGGCCCACCGCGCCACACACCTGCCCCAACACCAGACTGGGCACCTACAGAGAACGGGCACCAGGGCGGTGTAGAGGTCATTGTGTACCCGTTGCTGCCCTCTAATTAGGATTTTCAAATTCCCACCTGACCTTGTGTCCCAGGGGAGAGACAGGTAAGCCCCGTGGGACCTTTAAGACTCTCAGCTCCAGGCCGTGGCCACGCGCGCCTGACACGCACGTGCGCCATTGGAAGGAAACAACCCTTCAGGGTGTCGGTTCCCTCCCAGCCTCTCCGTTTCCACTAGAAGTTTAGTTGGCAGACGTGTCCCTTTGGTTTCCTTGTCCGCTCAGGACAGGAATCGAGTCGGCACAGTGTGTTTTTCGTTGTTACAGATTTTGACACACACAGCGACAACGGGGAGAGTGACTCCGAGACAGGCCGTGCGTCCCGGGCCCGCGGGGAGGTGCCGCCCCAGGGCAGGGACGAGGGCCAGCTCATAGGCCTGCAGGGCACCTACCTGGGTGAGAAGCCCTACGAGTGCCCGCAGTGCGGGAAGACCTTCAGCCGGAAGTCCCACCTCATCACGCACGAGCGCACGCACACGGGCGAGAAGTACTACAAGTGCGACGAGTGCGGGAAGAGCTTCAGCGACGGCTCCAACTTCAGCCGGCACCAGACCACCCACACGGGGGAGAAGCCCTACAAGTGCCGGGACTGCGGGAAGAGCTTCAGCCGCAGCGCCAACCTCATCACGCACCAGCGCGTCCACACGGGCGAGAAGCCCTTCCAGTGCGCTGAGTGCGGCAAGAGCTTCAGCAGGAGCCCCAATCTCATCGCCCACCAGCGCACCCACACCGGGGAGAAGCCCTACTCGTGCCCCGAGTGCGGCAAGAGCTTCGGCAACCGCTCCAGCCTCAACACGCACCAGGGCATCCACACCGGCGAGAAGCCCTACGCGTGCAAGGAGTGCGGCGAGAGCTTCAGCTACAACTCCAACCTCATCCGGCACCAGAGGATCCACACCGGCGAGAAGCCCTACGCGTGCAGCGAGTGCGGCCAGAGGTTCAGCCAGAGCTCGGCGCTCATCACGCACCGGCGCACGCACACGGGCGAGAAGCCCTACCAGTGCGCCGAGTGCGGCAAGAGCTTCAGCCGCAGCTCCAACCTGGCCACGCACCGCCGCACGCACCTGGTGGAGAAGCCCTACAAGTGCGGGGCGTGCGGGAAGAGCTTCAGCCAGAGCTCCAGCCTGATCGCGCACCAGGGCGTGCACACCGGCGAGAAGCCCTACGAGTGCCGGGCGTGCGGCGAGAGCTTCAGCTGGAGCTCCAACCTGGTCAAGCACCAGCGCGTGCACACGGGCGAGCGGCCGCACAAGTGCGGCGAGTGCGGGAAGGGCTTCAGCCAGCGCTCGCAGCTCGTGGTGCACCAGCGCGTGCACACCGGCGAGCGGCCCTACCAGTGCCTCCTGTGCGGCAAGAGCTTCAGCCGCGGCTCCATCCTCGTCATGCACCAGCGGGCACACCTGGGCGACAAGCCCTACCGCTGCCCCGAGTGCGGCAAGGGCTTCAGCTGGAACTCGGTCCTCATCATCCACCAGCGCATCCACACCGGGGAGAAGCCCTACCGGTGCCCCGAGTGCGGCAAGGGCTTCAGCAACAGTTCCAACTTCATCACCCACCAGCGGACCCACGTGAAGGGGAAGCTGTGCTGACGCTGCGGGGGGAGGGGGACCAACTTCACCACCCACCAGCGGACCCACGTGGAGGGGAAGCTGTGCTGCCGCTGCGGGGGGGAGGGGGACCAACTTCACGACCCAGCAGCGGACCCACGTGAAGGGGAAGCTGTGCTGACGCTGCGGGGGGAGGGGGACCAACCTCACCACCCACCAGCGGACCCACGTGAAGGGGAAGCTGTGCTGACGCTGCGGGGGGAGGGGGACCAACTTCACCACCCAGCAGCGGACCCACGTGGAGGAGGAGCCGTGCTGCCCTGGACCATCCCTGGGGTTTCCTCTGCTGCAGTCTTGCCCGGCTCTCATTCCTAGGGCACTGGCAGAGGCCAGCCTCGCCACGTTCGAGAACAGAAACTGGGTCTCATGTTTCACCGCTTGGTTGGGCTTCTCCCTGATTCTTCTGTGCCTCAGTTTCCTCCTTGGCCTGGGGGGAGGGGGAAATGTGTCTCTGTGTGAGATGGAAGACAAAGAAATACCAGACATGTGTGTGTGTGTGGTTGTTTTGCTGCCACTGTTGGGCCAAGGTGCCTTCACCCCAAGCCGCCAGCCTCCCGGGCCCCTGCCCACAGCAGAACCTGCTTCTCCCGTCTGCGCCGTCTTGGGCTTCGGTATCAGCTCAGGATGGAGGGGCCTCTGCAGCTCCGAGACACGCACGTGAAGGTCAAGCCCTTTCTATTTCCGTAAAGTCCAGAACCAACACGCTGCAGCCTGGAACGCAGGCCCCAGCGCCCCTTCCACTGGTCGGAGGCCAGGGCCTGTCGGGAGAGGTCTGCACGGAGGGCACCACGTGGTCTGCTCACTGCCCTGTGTTCAGTCGGCTGTCAGGGGAACACACTTGACCCTGGGCCTCGTGTTTGCAGCGTGACGTTGGACCCCAGGACACCTGCCGTCCGGGGTGCCGGTTTGTCTCATCAAGGGCCAACAGTCCTGCAACCTGCAGACTCCCACGCCCAGACTCCTGAGTTAACTCCGTCTATGCATTCGTGATCTCCCTGTTAACGTTTTCACTTTCTCTGCAGAGCTAGCACTCTGTCCGCTTTTCTGTACTGAGAACACCGTTAAGGGTTGATTGAGGACATCAGCGCTTCTGGGGAGACGGGGGCTGGGGGCCGGAGCTTGTCCTCCTCCTGTCACCGCTGACCTGGGGATGCTGGCAGTGGAGACGGGAATGCGAGCAGATGAGGGGGTTGCTAAAAGGAAGGGGGGCGGGCAGGTGTTTCCCAGAAATGGGAGGTCGCCACCTGCTGCTGCCTGTGGAATCTGCTCAGAATCAGCCTGGATTCCCAGGGGACAGACGTGGCACGCCGCCGAATAAAGTGGAGTCCCGTTCTGAGTCTGGTTTTTTTTTTAAAGATTTATTTATTCAAAAGGCAGAGTGAGAGAGCGCTTCTATCCACTGGTTCACTCACCAAAGGGCCACAACAGCCAGGGCTGGGCCAGGCGAAGGCCAGAAGCCTAGAACTGGATCTGGTCTCCCTCACGGACTGCAGGGGCCCAGGGACTTGGGCCACCTTCCTCTGCATTCCCAGGAGCATTAGCAGGGAGCTGGATGGGAACTGGGGCATCCTAGACTCGAACGTGCACTCTGACGTGGGCTGCCAGCTTCACGGGTGGCACCTCAACCCAGTCCACCACCATGCCAGTATCTGTTCTTTTTAAGGCGTGCTAAGAAGCTGAACTTGCCAGTTAGCAAGCCAGTGCTTCACTTCCCTGTCCCACCTCCCCACAGCCACTTCTCCAGGCTGAAAGGGGCCGAGAGCTTCGCGAGGAGATGTCAGCTGCTTCACCGACGTTACATTAACGAACCCGGACTCTGCTGCTCTACGTCCAGGACTTGCAGCAGAAGCCTTGGCTTAGGATCCAGGCGGCTCCCGAGCCCTCGCTGGGAGTCCTGTGTACCCCGGATCAGCCGAGTGACCCAGGGAGTTTCAGGCTGTCACAGCTGCTAAACCCAATCTAGCAGGCCGTGGAGTTGCCACTGCTCACTCCATCCCTGCGTCTGCCAGAGACGCTCACCAAGGACTCTGCCGTGACAGCTGGTGCCGGGCGGGGGGATGTGGACAGTCGCAGTGCCTGTCAGCGGAGGAGGCGTCTCCTCCATCTGGGAAGACAGAGAGCGGGCCTGCCAGAGAGACTCCACAGGGCGGTCTCCTGAGGAAAATGAGTTCCGGGACTCGATTACGGGACTCGAGTAGAAGAGGGCACTAGATGTGTAAGTGTCAACTTGAGAGAAGAGTTCATGGTACGCACTTGAAACCTTGAACTCCTCCCCATCTAGCAGGAAGACAGCATCTTGGGGTGGGGGTGGGGGTGGGAGCAGCGTAGCTGGAACTGCAGCCTTAGGCCGCAATAGGCGGGGGAAGGACAAATTGTGGGTCCTGAAAGGTCGCCAGGCCATCACGTCATGGCCTGCGTCCTCCAGGCGGGCCCACAGAGGCGATGAGGGGTGGGCGTGCACTGTGTCCCGTGGCTCCGTGCTGGGAGGAAAGACACAGTCCTCTTCCCTGAAGGAATTCCGGGAGCCCTGATGCCCTGGGCAGGTGCCCCTCCGCCCCAGCTCAGGTACCACCTGTGTCTGCTCTTTCCCCACACGGGTCCCTATGTTTAGGGACGGAGCTCCAGTCACCAGCTGACCTCCAGGACCACGGCATTCACCTTGGGACGATCAGAAATCTACACTAAAAGCAGCAACAACAAGACAACTGTCTCCATCTCGCTGGGAAGGGCCCCTCCGCAGGACTTCAGTGACTCTGGCCACTTCCCGCTCCCACTCCCCACACTCTTGGGGCAGTTCTCAGAGGCAGCCCCCAGGCTCAGCTCACATCCTCAGAGACCCTGGAACCCGCCAGGTGTGCGCTGCGCCTCCCATCCCCAGACCACAAACCTCAGCTGGCCTCCAGGCGCAGCCCAGAGACCTGGTTGGCTGTTTCCTCTGGGGTCCGGGCTCTCCGGGCTTGCTCCTGCAGCCTGCACCCCCGCTGGCGCTGTTCCTAGAGCCGCACTCTCCGCCCGTCCAGAACTCGCCTCCCTGCCTGCCCGCCCCTGTACTTCCCTTGGGGAAGCACCCGGCCTCCCGCACCCGCAGCCCGGCACGCGGCCAAGTCTTCCTCCCTCACCTCGCTCACAGCCTCCCGAAGCCCCTGGCGTAGCTCCGATCCCGGCCTGACACCTGTCCGGGCTCCCTAAGCTCCCCACCGGTGAAGCGGAGCTGCCCCGGGCCGGGCCTCGGTTCTCCCTAGCGGGTCCCCGGGGCCGGAAGCTGCCCCGTTAGTGCTCTCAGCGCTCCCCGGGGACCCCTCCCCGACCCTCGGACGTTTCACCTGTGAAGCAGGAGAGACTCGGGGATTCCGCCAAGTGAGGGCCGAGCGGAACGGCTGCCCTCCCGGGCTCTCCCAGCCGCCGCCTCTGAACGCTCGACCCTTTAGCACTTACCGCACCGCGCGGGAACGCGCACCCTCTGCCACCCGCACAGCGCGCGGCCCCGCGGTCGGCGGTGGCGTGAGCGAGCGCTCACCCGGGAAACGAGATGTGTGTGCAGGGGCGGGGAAGTGGGGACGCAGTGTCGTCGCCGGCGCAGCCCCGCCACAGCGAGGCGCTTCAACCCGCAGGACATCTGGGGTCCCAGCTGCACACTAACAAAAGACTCGGGCCAAGCCGCCAGGGCAAGGGGGTAAGCAGGAGCAACGGCCGCTCCGGGCCGTCGACGAATACGTTCCCAAGCTCTGCAGCCCGGGGGTCCCCTCACCCGCCGCCCGACGCGCGCGCTAGCACTGGCCTGCCCACCCTGGGAAACTAACGGGCGCCGGAGAGGCCCTCGTTACCTCATTGGTCAGCACTGCTGTCTTTCTGCGAGCAGGGACCTCTGGGTTCCGGTACCTTTCTGGAGCTCCACTTCCGCTTCCGGTGGTTAGGGTGCCCGCCACATTCCCGCGCTCGGGTCGCGGCTCCGGGTCACGGGGTTTCGTAGGAGTTTGTGCGGTCACGGAGGCGGTGCCGTGGGGCGGATAGTCGGAGGTCACAGGCACTGGGCTGACGGTCCCTTCTCTCCGGGGCCGCCCCGGGTGGGCGCGGCCTGGCGCAGAGCCAGCATCCGGCCTCGCGGACCCCGATCGGCGCACGCCCTCGGTGTCGCCATCCGCCGGGCCCGATCGGCTTTTTTTTTTTTTTTTTTTTAAGTATCCTTGTTCTTTTTGTTGTCCTTGTTATTAATCCCTGTTAACGAGGGCACAGTCTCCTCGTTTGAGAAGCCTGGGCAATGCAAAACAGGGCTCCCGAGGCTGAGAAACCAGCCAGAGACGAGGGAAGTGTAGCAGTTTATTTCATTTGATAAGACTGATTTTAGTTATTTGAAAAGCAGAGTTACAGAGAGGGAGACACAAAGAGATTTCCATCCACTGGTTCACTCCCCAGATGGCTGCAGCAGCCAGAACTTGGCCAGGCTGAAGTCAGGAGCTTCCTGGTCTCATCAGGGCGCAGGGGCCAAGCCCAAGATTTGGGCCATCATCCTCTGCGTTCCCAGGACAGTAGCAGGGAGCTGGGTCGGAAATGGAGCCGTATCCTGATTACTCCGCTTTTGATCCACACATACCGGCGCCTATATGGGCTGCTGCCATCACAGGTGGTGGCTTTACCCGTTACACTGCAGTGCCGGCCCAGGCAGGCCCCGCCAAGGGCACTTTAGTTTAGCGGCTGGAGCCTTAGATTCTCTGAAACTGGAGCCAGCTTTTTCGGGTGCTGCTCTCCAAGGTGCTGCTGCCTTGTGCAAGGGCTCCGCTTTGTCCTGGGCTTCGGCTTTGCACTACTGTTTCCTGGAGGCCACCAGTGCTGGGGAGGGCAAATGCCTCATTGTGTCGTAGGTGGTGTCCATCAGCCCACGCTCATTCTTCAGCCTTGTAAACCGCTGTAGTAGACACAACGTCATGCTCCCCTACTTCCAGCAGATACCAGCCTGACTCCTGTGTGTGTGTGTGTGTGTTTCTGACTCCTGTTAAACCTCTGAAACTGGGGCCAGAGCTGTGGATAGTAGTTAAGTCTCCGCCAGCATCCCTTACAGGCGTTGGTTTGAGTCCCGGCTGCACCACTTGGATCCAGCTCCTGGCTAACGGCCTGGGAAAACACTGGAGGACGGCCAACATGCTTGGGAGACCTGGAAGAAGCTCCTGACTCCTGGTTTCTGATTGGTCCAGCTCCGGCCGTTACAGCCAAATGGGGAGTGGACCAGCGGATAGAAGATCTCTCTCTCTCTCTGCCTCCCCTTCTCTGTAGCTCTGCCTCTCAAATATATATATATATATATATATATATATATATATATGTATTTTATTTGACAGGTAGAGTTATATTCAGTGAGAGAGAGAGACAGAGAGAAAGGTCTTCCTTCCATTGGTTCACCCCCAAAATGGCCGCTACGGCCGGCGCTGCGCCAATCCGAAGCCAGGACCCAGGTGCTTCCTTCTGGTCTCCCATGGGGTGCAGGGCCCAAGCACCTGGGCCATCCTCCACTGCACTCCCAGGCCACAGCAGAGAGCTGGACTGGAAGAGGGGCAACCGGGACTAGAACCTGGTGCCCATATGGGATGCCGGCGCCTCAGGCAGAGGATTAACAAAGTGAGCCACGGCCCCGGCCCCACAGCCTCTCAAATATTTTTTTTTTAAATGAGAACTGGAGGGCCAGCGCAGTGGCATAGCGGGTAAAGCCACTGCCTAGCAGTGTCAGCATCCCATGTGGGTGCTGGTTTGAGTCTGGCTGCTCCACTTCTGATCCAGCTCTCTGCTGTGGCCTGGGAAAGCAGCGGAAGATGGCCCAGGGGCTTGGGCCCCTGCACCCGTGTGGGAGACCCGGAAGAAGCTTCTGGCTCCTGGCTTCAGATCGGTGCAGCTCCAGCCGTTGCAGCCAACTGGGGAGTGAACCAGCAGATGGGAGACCTCTCTGTCTCCCTCTACCTCTCTTTCTTTCTCTGTGTAACTCTGACTTTCAAATAAATAAATAAATAAATCTGAAAAAAAAAAAAAAAGAACTGGGTCATCTCCATTTATAAAGACACAGACCAAGATGACCTATGAGTTATGAGTTCCATCCATTCAGAAGGAAAAACAGCTCACCAAGTCAAAAAACAGACAGCCATAGAGATAATGCTGTGTTATCAATTTGCTTATTTATTTATTTATTTATGATTTTAAAATTTATTTGAAAGGCAGAGTTACAGAGAGGCAGAGGGAAAGAGAGAGGTGTTCCCTCCACTGGTTCACTCCCTAAATGGCCATAGCTGCCAGAGCTGCGCCAATCCAAAGCCAGGAGCCAGGAGCTTCTTCCAGGTCTCCCATGTGGGTGCA